TGGAGCTATGTAGGAGGATATTCATCCAGTCCACTATCAGCTCTGCAACATCCAGCTTTCCACCTGCCGATAACATCTCTAAACTTGGGAGTTCGGTGTGCACAAAATCCTGGGTTCCATCCCCAGCACCAATAAAAAGTTAAATAAAATTCCAAGACCCATACACTTGAGAACAAAAACCCACAAACGCTCTCCGGATGATCCAAGTTTAAAGTGAAATTCCTCAGCTCTCTCCAGGTGATTAAGGCAAAAGATCCAATTCTGGGTGTCTGGGGACACAGACCGTACAGCTGTTGCTGGAGTCTGTCAAAAGCTGGCACTGTGGCCTGAGAGGGGCCTGTTGGATAAAGAACTGTTTACCTGACGTCACCTTTGTATATGTGGTTGTGGGGATGGTGGTGTGTATGTGGCGGGGTGGGGGTGGGATCAGGGCCATGTTCTCTATAGCTAGGGGGAAAAAAGGTGTTTGAGACTTTCAACGTTAGTGTTTGTGCTGGACAGGACAAGCCAGAGTGGGGTCTGCAGCTGTCCCCACTGCCCCTTTGCCTTCTACCAGCACAGAGGCCGCCTCAGGCAGAGAACAGGCCAGCCACAGGGGTCTGGATGGAGTGGGGTGGGACATGGCTAGGAGTCAGCCCTGTGGCCAGGCCGAGAGATGGAGTGCTGTGGGCTGACGTGCCCCCCTGGCCTGCCTCACAGTCCCCATCTTTTGCTGTGCTCCAGAACCCTACAAAGACACGTGTGCACTTGCGACAAGGCTGGTCTGAAGTGATGTGCTGACGGAGCACAGTACAGCCCAGATTCCAAAGACACGAAGAAAGCAAGCCTCATAAATAATAACAGATAAATTTTGGCCAGGCTTGGTGATCCATGCCTTTAATCCCAGCACTTGGGAGGCAGAGGCTGGTGAATCTCTGTAAGTTCAAGGCCAGCCTGGTGTGGAAGTTCCAGACCAGCCAGGGATAGTGAGACCCTAGCTCAAAAGACCAATAATAAATAAGTGTTTTTAAAAAGGAGAAACCAAGCAAAGGGGGTGGGGGGAGGCAGGAGGGGGGCAGGAGAGAGCAGAGGAAAAACCAAGCAAAGAAGGAGAAAGGACATTTCCATAGCGAAGGATTTTTTCTTGTACGTGTGTGTATATGTGTGTGTGTATGTGTGTGTATGTGTGTATGTGTGTGTATGTGTGTAGTGTGTGCGTATGTATGTGTATGTGTGTATGAGTATGTGTGTACGTGTGTGTATGTGTACATGTGTGTATATGTGTATGCATGTGTGTATGTGTGTATGTGTGTATGTATGTGTATGTGTGTATGTGTGTGTATGTGTATGTGTGTATATGTGTGTATGAGTGCGTATGTGTGTATGTATGTGTGTATGTTTGTATGTGTGCATGTGTGTGTGTTTGTGTGTATGTGTGTGTATGTATGTGTATGTGTGTATGTGTGTGTATGTGTGTATGTGTACATATGTGTGTATGTGTGTGTATGTGTATGTGTATGTGTGTATATGTGTGTATGAGTGTGTATGTGTATATGTATGTGTGTATGTGTTTGTATGTGTGCATGTGTGTGTGCTTGTATGTGTATGTGTGTATGTGTATATATGTGTGTGTATGTGTGTGTCTGTATATGTGTGTGTGTGTGTGTGTGTGTGTGTGTGCATCCATGTGAAGGTCAGAGGCAACTTGCAGGAGTAAGGTCTCCCCTTCCACTATGTGGGTCCTGGGGATCAAACTTGAGTGTTCAGGTTTGTTGGCATGGGCCTCTACCCTCTAAACCACCTCCATGGCTGCTAGTATAGGGTTTTTTTCTTAATTAAAAAATGTATTATTATTGTGTGAGTGTGTGTGTACAGGCTCACATGCACAACTTTGTGGAGTTCTCTATGTCCATTAAAATTTTTTTAATTTTTATTTTATGCATATGAGTGTATTGCCTGCGTGTATCTGAGTGCACCTGTGTCATGCAATGCCATGGAGGTCAGAGGAGGGCTTCGGATTCCCCTGGAACTGGAGTTAAGGACGGTTCATAGCTGCCACGTGGGTGCTGGGAATCGAACCTGGGTCTCCTGCAAGAGCAGTGAGTGCTCTTAACCGCTGAGCCATCTTCTCCAGCCCCTCTATGTCCATTTTAACATCGATTCTAGGGATTTATACAAGTGTCTTTTCCCAGTGAGCCAAATCACCAGACCCTAATGTAGGATATTTATTTATTTATTTTTTGTTTTTAAAAAATATTTTTTAACTTTTAAAGTTTATTGAGAATTTCATACATGCATATAAGGTATTTGGATCAAATCCACGCCCACTCCCTCCCCTCCAACACCCCCCATATCTCCCCTCACTGTTTTCTGACTTCGTGTTCTCTCTCTTTTCCTTCCTTCCTCCTTCCTTCCTCCTTCCTTCCTTCTTCCTTCCTTCCAACTTCCTTCCTTCTTCCTTCCTTCCTCCTTCCTTCCTTCTTCCTTCCTTCCTTCCTCCTTCCTTCCTTCCTCCTTCCCTCCTTCCCTCCTTCCTCCTTCCTTCCTTCCTCCTTCCTTCTTCCTCCTTCCTCCCTCCTTCCTTCCTTCCTTCCTTCCTTCCTTCCTTCCTCCTTCCTTCCTCCTTCCTTCCTTCCTCCTTCCCTCCTTCCCTCCTTCCTCCTTCCTTCCTTCCTCCTTCCTTCTTCCTCCTTCCTCCCTCCTTCCTTCCTTCCTTCCTTCCTTCCTTCCTTCCTTCCTTCTTTCATTCTTTTTCTTTCTTGTAGCTTTTGGCTACTCTAACCTTCCCCTCTCTGAAGAGGTAACCCTAAAATCTTTCAGGGATTAGATAAGAGCTCCCAAATACTTTTGACATTTTTGGCCTTTGGAACAGAGTATGGTGCTTAGAAGCCCAAGGACATTTTGACTTTTAGACAAGAACCTGGCTACTTTTCTTTGGGGTCTTTTTACCCTAACTGCCCAGCCAATTCCTACCTCCTATTCTTATCACACCATTCTCTGAAGACGTTACTCAAATTGCCGATAGGGAATCGGGGTGCATTTTATTTGTTATTTTTATTTTGTGTGTATGACTGTATTGCCTGCATGAATGTAAGTGCACTTGTGTTGTGCGATGCCTGCAGAGGTCAGAAGAGGGTGTTGAATCCCCCAGACCTGAATTTATGGATGGTTGTTACATGCCACAAGTGCTGGAACTCAACCCAAATCTTCTGCAAGAACAGCCAGTGCTATTAGCTGCTGGGCCATTTCTCCAGCCTCCTAGTATAGGATTTTTAAAGTCAGTGTTTTTTAAACTGGAATCCTCAAGCCTCAGACATTCCCAGGAAATCAGACCTGCTTTCTGTCTCTCTAAGAGAGCCATAGACTTTTGCAAGCTCAATCAGCGATGCTCTGGAGCTTTTCTGTTTGTGGACAAGAGCTCTGTGCACGGTCCTACTCCCCTGCTGGCTTACCCACTCCCTCACTTTCATTGGTTTATTCACTCATCCATTTCCAGGAGGCTTGTGGGGCAGACCTCTTTGCTTATTTTTTTGTTTGTTATGTTTTTGTTTGTTTTTGTTTGCTGTTTGTTTTGAGACAGGGTCTTCCCATTTGCCCTAGCTGTCTTGGAACTCACTATGTAGACCAGGCTGGCCTTGAACTCAGATATGCCTGCCTCTTAATTCCTAGCTAGGATTAAAGGCATGGGCCACCCTGCCCAACCTGGGGAAGATCTCCTTGAGAGCTCCTCTTTGGTTGGTTTCTAACCCCTTTCCTCTTGTCTGCTGTGAAACGCACAGGCTGCCCACTTCAGAGAAGCCTAGAGGTTTGCACATAGGGCCTGCCAGTGAGTTTTCCACCAGTACAACCAGAAGGAAAAGGAAACACCCTTTGCTTCAGCCCAGGACCGCCAAGAGTTTGGGCTGAAAGGCCTCATTAAAGCTTTATAATAAGTAATTAACTGGAAGGTTGAACCCTTTGGCTGGTCCAAAACTCCCTCCCAATAAGGCTGGCAGAAAAGGCTGAGTGGGTAGGCGCAGGTGAGACCCAGGGCCTCTCCTCCCTAGAACATAAATAGAACTGAAAGCAGTAATCGCAAAGGCTGGGGCCTGCCCTCTCCCAGACCTCCCAGATCTCCCAGACCTCCTGTCCTTCTCCCAGGGCTCCATCAGCTCTTCTATAGGGCTGAAGGCATGCTTGAAGGCAAAGATTCAGGAACAGTACAGCCCCCCTGCATTGGGGTCTTGATGGCCTGGAGTGGTCCCCTTCCTGTAGAGTTCTTGGCTCCCAGGAGTGTTAGAAAGCCCAAGGAAAAGTGTTCTTTATCACTCTTCAACCAA